GCAACTCCTCCACCCATTTGCCTTTGGCGCCTGCCAATCGAGTGTGTAACCCGTGGAGAATGCTTTTGTTGGCCGCCTCCGCTTGACCGTTTGCCTGTGGGTACGCCACTGAAGAGAACCGCAAGACGACCCCATTGTCATCGCAGAAATCCACAAATTTCTTGCAATTGAACTGCTTTCCATGATCTGTGACAATGGACTCAGGTAGGCCGAACCGAGTGAATATATTTTTCTTGGTGAACTTTCGCACCTGTGCTTCTGTGACGGTGGCCAAAGGTTCCGCCTCAATCCATTTGGAAAAGTAATCGACCGCCACTATCAGGTATTTCATTTGCCCAGGCGCCTTGGGAAAAGGGCCTAAAAGGTACATGCCCCATTGGGCAAAAGGCCAGGCTCCCACATTGCCCTGCATTGGCACCGCCGGGACATGGATATCATTCGCATGAATTTGGCACTGATGGCAGGCGTCCACATGTGCCTTTGTGTCCCGTCTCATTGTTGGCCAGTAATAACCTTGTCGCAGCAGTGTTTTTTCCAAACTGCGTGCTCCCGCATGCATTCCGCACGTCCCGCTGTGCACCTCTTCAATTTCCCCTCTGCTTTCCTCCTCATCCAGACACCTCAAGTATGCTCCCGAATGAGACCTTTTGTACAACGTTCCCTCAATTATGGAGCACCGAGCCGCCTTTCGACGGAGGCGCCAAGCTTCCTTTGGGTCATCCGGCACCGTTCCTTGGGTCAAGAATAGTACGATTGGTAACATCCACCCGGAGTCGGCGCCCACGTTCTCCAAGGTTGCGACCAAATGTTGACGAGGCACTTCTGCGGTGACTATGACTTACCGGTCTTCTGCAAAATCCACCGCGGTGGCTAATTTGGATAGAGCGTCTGCATGAGCATTCTCCTCACGTGGAATGTGGACGAAGGATATTTCTCCAAACCAGGCTCCCAGTTCTCTGACTCTTTGCACGTATCCTTCCAGCGCTTCCTCCTTTACTTCGAATGTTCCACTAAGTTGGTTGACGACGAGGGCCGAGTCAGACTTGACCTGGACTTTGTGGGCGCCCAGCCCCTTAACCATGGTCATGCCGGCGATCACCGCTTCATATTCTGCAGCATTGTTTGTTTTTAAGGTGGCGAATCGCAGCGCGACCTCGTGCATCGCGCCTTCGGGGCTTATCATCACAATACCTGCTCCGGCGCCCGTACGGCTGGCCGCCCCATCGACTTGAACTTGCCAGCAATCGTCTGTCCCTTTCTCTGACTCTGCTATACCTTCTGCGACGAAGTCGGCCAGAACCTGGGCCTTGATGGCTGGACGAGGCGCATACCTGACGTTGAACTCACTTAGCTGGACCGCCCACTTGACAAGGCGTCCGGCCACGTCCATTGACCCCAACGTGGATTTTAAAGGGAGGTTGGTGAGCACTATGATGGTGTGGGCCTGGAAGTAAGGCCTCAACTTTGTTGCGGCCATCACAACCGCCAGTGCAGCCTTCTCGATGGGCGCGTACCGCCTCTCGTGGGAGACCATGGTGCGACTGACATAGTATACTGGTTTGTCTTCTCCAGAGTGGGTTTCTCTTGCGACAAGCACTGCACTTACTGAGCTGCTTCAATTCTTCGAACGCCCCGTCACACTCAGTGGTCCACTGGAAACGCGCCGCCTTCTTAAGCGTTCGAAAGAAGGGAGCGGCTTTGTCGGGGAATCGGGTGATGAAGCGCCCCAGTGCTGCCAGCCTGCCCGCCAGGCCTTGCACCTCTTTGGGCATTTTCCGGGGGGGGGGGGGGGGGGGGGGGGGGGTCAACTTGAGAATAGCATCTACCTGCTTCGGATTGGCCTCTATACCTCTTTTGGTGATCATGAATCCCATAAATTTTCCCGCTTCGGCGCCGAACACACACTTGAGGGGGTTTAGACGAAGCCTATGCGCCCTCATGGCCTGGAACGTCTCCCGCAAGTCTTCAATGTGGTCTTCCCGTTTCCGGCTTTTGACTATGAGGTCATCCACGTAAGCTTCCACATTTCGGCCGATTTGCTGCCGGAAGACGTTGTTGACCATTCTTTGATACGTGGCGCCCGCGTTCTTGAGCCCGAAGGCCATGACCCGATAGCAGAAGTTTCCAAAAGGTGTCATGAAAGTTGTTTTGGGCCGGTCTTCTTCTGCCATGGGGATTTGATGGTAACCAGAAAACATATCCACGAAGCTCAGCATCTCGTGGTATGCCGTGGAGTCTACCAGTAAGTCTATCTGGGGCATTGGGTAGGCGTCCGTTGGGCATGCCCTGTTGAGGCTTGTGTAATCCACGCACATCCTCCAGTCGCCCGACGGCTTTGGCACAAAGACCACGTTCGACAACCAAGTAACATAAGAAGTTTCTTCGACCAAGTTAGCGCCCATAAGCTTGTCTACCTCGACCCTAAGCGCCACCTCCTTTTCTGGCGATAGGTTCCTGCGCTTTTGCTGCACGGGGCGCCTACCTTCCTCGACCGCTAACCTGTGAACGGTCGTTTCGGGTTTGACGCCTTGCATTTCCAGTGCACTCCACGCGAAAAGCTCTGCGAACTCTCTTAGGAGTGTGATGAGTCGTTCCATCATTTCGGCGGGCGCCTCTGCCGAGATCCTGACGCATCTTTCTGGGCGCCCTTCCTCTAATGCTATCAAAAGTTCTTCGTCGGCAGCCTCAGCTCGAGGAGCCTCGTCTCCCACGACTTCCATCACATTGACTCTTGCATCGACGTGCCTTCGCTTGCGCCCAGTCTCCTTTGCGTAACGCGGGGCGCCCCGTCCTCGGGCCACGCCCACCCCTTGTGGGGTAATGAACTTCAAGGTCTGGTGACAAGTGGAGGCCACCCCGTTGAATAAGGCTAGAAGGGGCCTTCCAAGAATCATATTGTACGGCGATGGGCAGTCCACTACCCGAAGTCTATGGCGCGCGTCACCCTTTGCTCCCCATCTCCCAAGGTGACTGGCAGGCACACCCGCCCTATCACTCTGGCGGGCGCCACCGAAAAGCCTACTAGCACAGACTGCGATGGTCTGATCATCTCTGGTGATAGTTGCATGCGAACCACCGTATCCTTGAACAGCACATCCATGGAGCTTCCCGTGTCGACCAGCATTCTCCTCACTCTACATCCGGCTACTACCCCTTGTATCTCCAAGGCGTCCATGGACGGGAGCATACATGCTTCTTCCGGCGCTTTGTTGAAGCTGATGTCGATCGACTCCTGCACATCCGCCGACGCTGCCCTCAGTCGGCGATTTGCCTCTATCTTCTCTCTCAAATCCATTGTCCCTGAAATGGCTTCGATGGTCAGGCGCGCGCGATCGGGCGCCTTTTCTTGATCCAGGTCGTAAGGTGGGGGTGGCAGCTCCTCCCTTGTCTTTACCACGCCAGCCACGCATACCCGGTGTACTCTTTCTTCAGGCTTCTTGATAAAGTCATTGAGCATTCCTCTGTCAGCCAGACCCTGTAGCTCCGTTTTCAGCTGATAACAATCGGCCGTATGGTGCCCAATTTCATGGTGGAAATCACAGTATCGGTCCAAGTTCCGCTCGTTGGGTTGTCCCCTCATGGGGCCCGGCCACTTGATGTGGTATCCCTTCTCCTTAACGTGCTGGAGCATGTTCTTCAGGGTGTCGTTGTACTCGACGAAGTGCCCAGCTCCCCTTGGCGCCTGACGCCCCATATCAATTCTCCTTGGCGGGGGTTGGCTTGCGGGCGCATAGCCCGAACCACTCGGGGGGTACGGCCTCCTTGGTACATCGGCTTCCTCCACTCTTGTCTTTCTCCGATCTGCCCTCCTGGCCGCTAGCGTCTCCTCCAGCATAATTACCTATTGCACTCTGTGGATACCACGTCTCTCTTTGCGAGAGACCTGCACAGCTCCTCACCGGAGGTGCACTCATTCAGGCACACTCCCAGCACCGACGGCTGGGCGTCCTTTACCGCTAGGGCCACGGATAGCCACCTCTCGTAAAACTCCCTTAATGCCTCTCCCTCCTTCTGCCTGACCTTAAACAGGGCGCCTATGGTCAAGGAGCGCCTTTTCCTGCTGGCAAATTTCGCTAAGAACATCGCCGCGAACTGTTCGAAGCAATCGATGCGCCCTTCATCGATCTGATGATACCAATCGAGGACCACGCCTGAAAAGGTGGACGGGAATACCTTGCACAGGGTGGCGTCCTTGCTGTTATAGAGTTGCATTTTGGTGAAATACCCGTTAAGGTGGTCCTCGGGGTCTCCAGTTCCGTCATAGGCGGGGAGCGGGGGAATGTTTGTTCCTGCGGGCTCCGACAGTATACAACGTGCCAGAGGCTGCCTCACGGGGCAGTGGCGTGATAGGCGCCCCAAAATTCCTCCATTCCATCCGCTAGCATTCGGCCCCCCATGATCGCGTTGGCGCCATAGATTTGGGCGCCTCAGACACCCTGATTCACTCTCTGTCTCCTCCATCCTTTCCCTTTTTTTTGTCGGGCTGGGCGTCATCCTTCCACTCCTCTTCAAGGCGTCCACTTCCCGCCGCAGCGCCTCGATTGCCTCGTCCTGATCCTCGATGATCCGGAACAATTCTTTTTTCGTGACCGTGGCGCCTTCGGACCCCCGAAACAGGCCACCACTTTCCTCACCTTCTTCCATCTCGGGCGTCTGCCCTCTCATTCGCTCCGATTGTTTCTCTGTAATTTCTTCCCTTTCTTCATTCATCGGCGCCTCTTCACTCATGACTCCTGGCTATATCCCCTTCCTGGCGCGCCAATTGTTTGGGACACGTTACCCTCGTATGGCTCTCCAAAATCCTTTCTCGCAAGGCGCCTGTCTGCACACACGAACAAGGAGGGGGCGCCTGGGCCCGTTAATCCTCCGACGCCCAAGTTAGTTTCTAGGAAGAGAGAAGTGTCTCAAAACTAGAGTTTAGTGAGAGAGAGTCCAACCTGTGTAAATGCTACCAACTGCCCCTATTTATACTCACCAGAGTTCGAGGTTGATCTTCTCTACCTCACTGTCTCCATTTAATGCTTTGTCCCTTTCTGGTCAGATATCCCAACCACCTTGTCAGGCTTCTGGCATGTGACAGGCACCCGCAGACGCTGGACCACATGACAGCCTGGCCCCCTTTGGCTTCTAGTGACTTGTCCTTATGTGCCCTCCACCTTGGTTGGGCCTTGCCCCCCAATTCGGCTGTTTGGAAGCCCAATTTGTCGCCCATTGGGCCTTGCTCATAATACCCCCAACATCTTACAAACATATTGCCCATCAAATTATGTTCACCACTTCATTATAGACAGGTCATTGATCACTGGCTGGATATGTGCTACTTAAACAGAGCAACAATTGACGAAGAGAAATTAAACTTATGATTTCTCTCCCGTACCAATACACCTCCCTATCAATTGGGTTGGACCTCTTTCGCTTCACTTGTATATTTGAACACAATTAGTTAGTGATACGAATAGGAATGCAAACGACAACTAATTGAAAAAAAGTGTGAGATGGAAAAAACACACTTCAACTAGACAATTAAGTTGTTGGTTTGAAGGAGAAAGAAGGCCCTACTAGTCCAATATATTCTAATTACAAAATGGGGTGAAAAAAGTAAGCGTCTTTTAAATTTTCTTCCATTATAATTCTAGATTCCCCAAGTTAGAAAATCTTCATCTTGCTTCTTTTAACCTCCTTCTTTTACCCCCTTCCATTATTAATTTCTCATCATGTGGGAAGAGGCTCTTAAACATCCTTTCACATCAATTCAATTAAAATATCATTTGCAAACATAAACAATTAAGTAAAATCATCACAGTCTCTCATGCACATACTTGTTCAAGATTTCCCACTCCCATCTCTTAACAAGATCTTGATCATGGCACTTTAATGCATAGTTAAACCATATTAATTATTTCCGATAATTTTGGACAATAAAGGGTTAGTTTAAACAATGGGGAATAAAGTTTTGTATTGTTTGGGTATTATATATTTGTTCCCTAACCTCCATTAAGTTCTTGGTAGGATTCATAATTCTACACAACCAACCATATACTTTTTAAATTCCACCAAATCAACCACCTAATTATAGACAATGCTAATGAGTCCACTTGAATATACACACACTTGATAATTCAAGCAAAAATAAAGAATATGGTTAATATTGGAATACCTTCACTACCTACCATTATACGAAACTGACTGCTCTGTTGTTAGAAAATTGATATAACTCGAGTAGTTAACATGTTTATCAAACTAACTTAGTAGGTTAGCTAGTTATTTGGCTAAATATATAAAAGTATATTCATTATCTAACCATTTCTAACTAGTTCCTTCAACCGGCGCCATCTATCTTGCTCAATTCTGCTAAATATATATAAAGGTATATTCATTATCTAACCATTTTTAGTTAACCAAATAAATCATTTTTGTATATTGACAACAACCCACAAGATTCAATATACATTAGATAAACAACAACAACAAAAAAAAAAATACATTAGATAAAAACTTAGAACTCAAATTTCTCAACCCCAATATTTCCACTCATATATACATATACCCAAGATAATCAAAACCAAAGAGAAGGGAAGATGGTTAACATTTATAACTAATAAAAGAGAAATCTTGTTCTCTTCCTTGATGTAAAATTAAAATTCCCCCACACAATATTCAATTTACGAAAATTGAGAAAAATAACTAGTTAGAAACTCTTAAAAACTAAAATTCCCCAATCCCGATTGTTTAACTTCTTTTCTTGATACATTACTATTAGCGACGGAAAATATGCGACGATGATTAATAGACTAAACTGTTGGCAATCGCTCGATTGGTTTTGAGATGGGTAGTTTCATAAACCGGTAATTCCTCTCTGTACCTCTCGATCCCTTCAATCGACGAGAGATTGTCCAGCTCGAACAAATCCGAGCTGGCACAGCTTGCCACGTCGTCATCCTCCTCGACCTCCATCTCCACCTCATCTCCACGTCGGCGCCACGAAAACAGCTCTTCCTCGACCGCGGCGGCGCTCTTCCTCTGATTATAACTCTTCAAAAGCTCCCTCGCTACCTCCTCCACGCGGCGGCTCTCGCTCATTACGCGATACTTCAGTTCCTCACTCACCGCCACCGCCGCCGCCGGATTGTTGATTCCGGCGGAGACCACCCTCGTCGTCGATATCGCCATTGCGTCCTCACGCCGCTCGCCGTACACGCTCTTGTGCCCGCACGGCCGGGAATCCTCGTCGACGATGACGCTGACCGGGTAAAACCTCACTGACCGCTTCCCCCCTCCGCCGCCGCGGGACGACGGCGTTTTGCTCAAGCACGACCGGGAAAACGATGAAGCAGAGGAGCACGCCGAAGTAGAATTAGAAGGCCGGATCTCGTCCCTGTCGCCGCCCATCTTCGCTTTCTTGGCGGTGCCGGCGGTGAAGAGCGAGTTGAGGAAGCTGGCGAGTCGGCCGCCCGGTGAAATCGGCTGCTTCACTTTCTTCAAGTCGCCGTAGATGTTCTTCAACGATCTCGATTTCTTCTTCACAAATCCTCCGCCGCCGCCGCCGCCAACGTCTGATTTTTCCTGCCGCAGCCTGGCTTCCGATGAGGCGGTGGTAGAGGTTCGAATCGGCTTGAGAACTTGGGATCTGGGGACAGGGATGGAGAACGAGTCGTCGGAGGAAGAGAACCCGGCGCCGGTTCCGTTGCTCGAATCCGACGAGCTGGAGCTCGAGTACTCAACCCCTGATTTCCTTCGCACCTCACGAAACGCGGCGTTTTGAAGGAGAAGCCTCCTCTGTTTCTCACGCTCTGCCTCTTCCTCACATCCATAGCCAGAGCTCTTCTGATTCTGCTTCTTGTTCTTCTGCTTCATTGTCTCATAGCCATTCTCTTCTTTCCCCAAATTACGAGCACTGTAATAATTTCCTTTCCTCGCTGCTGCGGCTGCGATTTCCTTCTCGCTGTAGAACTTCATGTTCTTGCCGCCGCCGCCGGCGGCGGCGGAGGAGGTATCGTCGAAGGAGCGGTAGATGGCGTCGAGGAGAGTGGAGGAGAAAGATGGGTTATTGGTGCTGTTGCTATTGTTGTGATGGCGTCTCGAGGCGGAGGAAGATGTTGATCGCTCCATGGGTTTCTGGTTTGCTCTGTTTGTTGGGTTTGTTGGTTTGCTCTGTTTTCTAGCGATGGCAGAGAGAAAGAAACAAGGAGCAGAACAGTGGTGGTGGGGGGTAGTGAGAGAAAGGTGTGGTGTTGGAGGCTAGCTGGAAGAATGAGACATGGTGGAATGATGATGGGCGATGATTTTCAGACAAAGCAGAGGGAACAGAGAAACAGAGGAACAGAGTGAGAAGAAGAAAACAGAGGAAAAGGGTAGAGAGAGAAAGCAATGAAAGCCAAAATCCACGCCTGTGAATGGGGGAGAGAGAGAGAGTTAGAGAGGGAAGGAAGGAGGAGAGTGAAGGAGAACTAGAGAAAGGAGTGGGAGTGAGGAGGAACAGGAGAGAGTTTATGGAGAAGGAGAAGTAGTGTCTCCTCCCTCCCTCTTATTTGCCTTCAACTTTTTAAGTGGAATTTTATTTTTTTTGTTTTTAAAGTTGAATTTGGGGAGGGAGTAGAAACAAGAACAGGGAGCCAACGGATTCATAGTTGAGGTGGTTGAAAATTTTGAATTTTCATAAATTTTCTTTTTAATGTAATTTGAAGGATGGTATTGTGAATACGAATGCTTTCAATTACTTGTTGGATGGTCAGAAGGCTCCTTTGCTCGATTCAAACTGGATCCCGACGCAAGTTCCTTCTCCTCCAGTGTATAATCCTCGGGTTTTGCCGGAGGATGGGGAATTGACGGTCTCGGTAGTCCTCTGTCCCAGGGAAGGGCGGTGGTGCGAAGATAAGCTGAGTGAGTGGTTTGACCCTCTAACTTGCCAGGCGATTAAGGCGTTGCCCCTGCCTTGGCAGAATATCGAGGATCGATTAATCTGGCATGCCACGGAGAATTGAATTTTTACTGTCAAATCGGCTTATCATTTGGCGGTTTGTCTGAACCAGCAGAGTGGGAGATGGCGGCCGGCGGGCGCAGGTTAGTTGGATGGACAGGCGGAGTTGGATCCGGGTTTGGGATGCCAATATTACTCCGAAACTGAAGGTGTTTGTCTAGCAAATCTTGACAAGAATTTTACCAACGACTGAGGCTCTGATCGAAAAGGAGGTGGAGGTCCTACCCCGATGTCCTGTCTGCTGGGCTTCAAAGGAGACAATGGAGCACTTGTTCTTTGAGTGCCCTGTGGCTAGGGCTCTGTGGTCGCAGGCAGGGTTTGATTCTCTTGGCGAGGGATTGCCCCGTCATACTTTCCCTCTCTTCCTCAAGAAATTGCTGGCTATCTTACATCAACCTTCGCAGTTCATGGCGGTAATTGCTATCTTGTGGCGGATTTGGAGATCCCGAAATTGGGTGGTCTTTGAAGGAAAACAATTCAACATTCTGGCATTATTGATGCAGTATAACCAACAAGTAGGGGAGTGGCTTGGCCTGCCTAGGGACCCTCAGTTTCCCTCTTCTCATCGGCCTGATCGTCCTACTGCGGTAGTGAGCGGGTCAGGGGGTCCGGTGTGTCGTTGGGATGGGGCGGTTCGACGAGGGTCGCACTCTGCAGGTGGTATGGTACTTCTCAATGATGTAGGGACGCCACTCTGGGCTGCGGGGTTCAGTTTCCCAACCTAGAGGATCCAATGGTGGTGGAGCTACTGACGCTTAGGGAAGCTGTCTGGTGGTGTTTAGTGCACGGGTATCTGGTCATGCGGTTTGAAGGGGATGCCAAGGTGGTCATTGATAAGATCTGTAGGGCTGATGTGCGAGACAGTCGGGTAGGGGCTATTTTGGAGGAAATGATTCAGATTTTCAGGGATAATCCGGGCTTTACTATGCGATTTGTAGGACGAGGAGACAATAGGGTAGCTCATATGGTAGCTAGACAGGCCCTTTCTTTGTTCCCGTCTACATGTCGTTATTTTTATTTACATACCTGGCTGGCTTCCAGGATGTAATTATCGATTTGTTACTATCAATATATGATTATCTTTTGTCAAAAATTACTTGTTGGATGGTGGATTGTTAGTTCTTCGTAGCATAGGGGTGTTTGTATATGAGCTTTATGGCCTTTGAGATCTCGGCAATGAATTCACCTAACGCTAAAAAGGAGATGACGAGAAACTATATGTTGTTGCTCAATTCGTTACTATGAAAATTGGATTTCTGATGATTATTTTCTGAGTGCATCAGTGATGGTCAATTAGTAACAAATCTCTATTATCAATGCCAATTGGGAATAATACAATTGGCAATCAACATATGTTTTTTTATAAGGGTGACATAAGCTATAGTTCACAAAGGATGAACCAACAACGGGGAAAAACAGTTATGTGGACTAAGTTACTCGTGCTGAACTCACATAATATACATTATATTTCAGACGTATCACATTATTTCAATACCCATATTAGTTAATAATCATAGGCACTGGCAGAGCCGCGTTAAGTCTAGGGGAGATTATACCTCCCACTCAACTTTCAAATTTAGGTAAATTTGCATGTAAAATGCATGGTAAAGGAAACCGTACCGGACATCATATCGGATTCCTTTCTGGTATGGTATTTTGTGGTACGACCGTGGTTCAACCGTTTTGTACCGGTAAATACCGTTTTTCACTATTGATAGAGAAATGAAATGCGATAGTATAAAAAATATACGGAGAATATGGAGAAATGAAGCTGAATGCATCTCTCTCTCAACTCTCAAGCTTTCCCTTCTCTCTCCTCCTTTCTTTCTCTGCCTTCTTTCTAGAATTCTCGTGATTTCCAAGCTGCTCTGCCTCCGTATTCTCGAAAATCCGATGGCCCCAACTCTGCGTGGCGATGATCACCATCTTACAGTTCCGCCCGGCGACCCTCTCGTTGTCCTTCCCCATGCTCTGCCGTTAATCGAGGCAATTTGGGAAAATCACTTGCATCTACTCCCTGAATTGGCAGACCCGCGCTAGAGGACCAATCAGGTTTCGGCACCTGTAGTGGGGAAACCTCGTCTTCTCTATTCTTCAAGCCGGAGCTCTTCTGCAGATTTCTCCTGCTCCTCCTTCGGCGTCGTACGGACTCAATTTCTTCTTCTCAATCCGTTTTCTCTGGCTCCCACTTTCCTCATCATCATCGTCGTCAAGAGCTTCAGAAAGCCTCCGACTGTTCTTCCCTGAATCGCCTTCTTCTGCTGTGAAATGTGAGAGCTAGGGTTTCCAGACTCTCCCGCAGCTTGGAACTCCACGAAACTGATTGAAATCAATTTCCTCGATTCGAGGGTTCGACTGACTAGTGTTTGCCTCGGTTCCATTTTGCACAGGAGGAAGTCGGTGAATCGACCTCCGACGCCAGACGCGGTGGAGGAGCAGGAAGAGAAGGGGCCTTCGCTTCAGGAAGTAATCAACGTTAAGGCTACCGCCGGTTAGACCAAAACCGGGCGGTTTTTCTTTTTGTACCGGTCAAACCGAAAAAACCGGCCGGCACGGTAAAATCAGCACAATCAGCCCACCGTACCGCTTTTAGTTCAATTTCCGATTGAACTGGTTGAACCGGCCGGTACGATCCGGTTTCCTGGTCTATGGTAAAATGTTTAACACATTCTCAAAATAGAAGACACTAGTCCCCCTCATTAATGACCATGGTTCAAATCCATCAAGTGTAATACTTTTACACCCTCTCCACGTCTTTCAAATTTTTTACTCCGCCACTAATCCTAGAACAACAAATTATCAACTCGGTTAGAATTCATTTCTCATGTGCTTTATTTTTTATCATTCTCAAGGGATCTAATGACACATAAGAAGTACATACAGTACCATATTAAATTTGGAGCAAAAGTACCATAAACACAAAGAAAATTGGAGCAAAAGTAGTTGCATTGGAAAATATATTGATTGATACACACTTATTTATCTTTGGCTGCCTAGTTCCCTTCATTTGAAGTGACACAAGATCCTTTGCTTTTATGTTTTAATATATTTTCTCCTTGGTTTACATATATTAATAAAAATAGCAAAAGAAGCAAAGCCAACAATACAGTACTAATGGTGTGTATGATTATAGGACAGTTAGCCAATGTTGATTTTTGGACCCATTTAGTCTCTTTAATTCCTTCTTTTTTCGTTAAAAATCATCCAATAATCCCCACATATATTTCCTTGTTCTTCTTTATATGAAAAAGTAATACAAATTCTTATAAAAGTAATAAAAACATATATGTAGGGAACTGACCAACAAAAAAAGAGAGGATCATGATGCTTAATAGTTAATACTTCAAGAACTTGTTCATTACAGATCTTTTTTGTAAAGTAGAGTTTTTAACCCTTTGAAAAAGCTAATAACTGTTAAATTGCACTTATTCTTTCTTCTTATCCCAACAATGCCGCATTTACATTTATGTATACATACCAAAGGGGAGGAAATGTCACATTAATATGCACTTTCTATGAGATTTGTTTTTGCTTTATTCTCATATTTTGTTATTAGTTATTACACGAATAAATAATTGATTGGGCATACTTGAAAGTTACAAGCAACCCCATTTGTACATTATTGTTTCGGGGTTAACTAAAAAATCTTTCTCATTCGTGAGTTTTTACTATATTCGCATTTTAATTCAACTCATGAATTCAATTGTTAAATTACAAGTAAAGATCAGCTGATTGATTATGGAATAGATTTATCTAATAATAATTTTCTGGATGAAGTGATAATTTCACATTGTACTTCCTTTTTAAACGAGATAAATCACAAGATCACACATCCAGAAATTGACGCCATATGCAAAACAAGCACAAATCACATATGAATCCAAACCACATTAATACCGAGAAACCACTACTCCAAACACTTCGCTAATGGTGTTATGAATTAGTTGATTTCAATAATTTGAGTTTTTGATAGAAGGTTAATGATGAATCTTATATCAAATTTTAATTCACCCGCTTAACATGCTTGAAATTTGCAAATGTCCACTATATCTTGTGCTAAGATAAATTGTTAATATTGAGAGTCATTCAATTACAAAGATTCGAACGCATGATCATTTAAAAAAAAAACTCTCATTTCATGTCATAAATCAAATGATGTCACTAATTCAAGTTATTAGGAAAAATGAATGTTTAGATTTCAACCACATGAGGGAGAAGTGAAAGTGGAGATATGCTTTGCTTGCCGGCATGCGATGCAATGCAATTGTATTTATGAATCATAATTGCACCCAAAAAGCCACAAGCTATGCTCTCTATATCTATAATTCCCCAAAATTTGGTATTTTAATTAATTAATTAATTAATCCAATAAACGTTTGGCAAACAGTCAACTAATGCGGCTCCTTGGATGCTTTGACTTTTAAGACCACCAAGCAATCAAACGAACAGCAATGATAATTGTTGTCCTTCATTTCTTTGCTGCATAAAAAATAAATAAAAATAATCAACAGAAAATTGCTCTCTTTTCTTTTTACCGTAATATTTATAATGAAAATGGGTTCACTTCTTCCAAAGATAATCCGTATAGAGGAGCTCTGCTAATTGATCCATTAACTAACTAAAGCGTCTAATAAATAATAATGCAGTCGACATGTGGTGTTCTTTTAGATAAAATAAAAGTAAAACAGAAACTACATTCAATAAATATGATTATTTGGTTAAAAAAATATAATTATATTTTTAACCGTAGATACCTCGATCTATTTTGTTTAATTATTAAATAGGTTTTGTTAGCAGTATCAGAACATTAGCTAGTTTGTGGTTTTTGTTAGCAAATAGATACAGTTAGGGGGCGTGTAATGATCCGATTCACTCTGGGCTGAATCGTACCAAATTAATGTTTGGATTAAATCAGACCGAATCGAATATATTTTG